CCCTAGGAGCCCGACGCAGCCCTCGCGCGCCAGGCCGGCGTTGGGCAGCTCGGGGGCCGAAAGCGCTGCTGGTGCTCCAGCGTGCGCCGAGTTAGCCAGGTCAGGGCTCACCCGTTCAACGCTTTATTCCTTTGACAGGATTGGGCCTTTGGTCTTTTTAAATCTTAACTCACACCTTTTGCACGAGGAAAACAAAGTCGGTTAAACCCTGAAAACAGCACAAAGCCCTGACTGATAGATGAGGACTCGAAATCATCTCAGCCCTGACAGCGCTACGGTCGATGCTCGCGCCTTTTCTCCCTCACCTTCTGGGCGACTGTCGGCAGCGGCCTTGGATTGCTGAGCCAGTGAGACAGACTCTGGAAAAACGCGGGATTAACAGAAAAGGCTGGCAAAAACCTGCATCATCTTTCCTCCGATGCATTAAGAAAGAGGCGAGTGCTAAAACATTCCTTGCTAGGTGATAACATTAATATTCAAAGTAATACAAGTATTATTTTAGAAAAGCTCGACTATTCACATCATGCTGACCTGTAAAGCATTTCTCCTGCAAAAAGCACGTGCAGCGTATCTGTGCGCTTGCTTTTTTGTGTGTGAGAAAGAGAGGTGCGATCAACCAGTTGCAATAGGTTAAGATTGTTTCCTCTCTGCTGAGAAAAAGACTTCGCCTACTACAGTTTAAAAGGTGTTGTGATTACAGGAGGGAAGATTTAACCTGGGGACGGCCTTGGATCTGCAAGACATCCTAAACCCTCAGATAATTTTGTTTATTGCCACAAACTAGAATTTCAGTGACTGACGGTGGGAAACGCTAGCTGAAGAGCGAGCACGTGGGCTGGGAAGGTGCGGAGACGGGTTCAGATGGTGTCCGTCCTGCTGTCGTGCCTCGACGCTTGCCTCGCTCGTCTCTCCCCGCAGAGGGTGGAAGACCCTGGGCCGGCTGGCTCAGGCCTGCGGGAAGGCTCATGGGGATGAGCGATTGCAGATTGCACCCGGCAGCAGCTGAAGAGCCGCGGCACAGCACAACGCGGTGGGTTGCAGGCAGAGACCGGGGAACGTGGCACGCTCGGTGTCAGCTCCGTCGTGGTCTGATCAATCCCAAAGTCTTAATGTTCATTTCATGATGTTAGTGGAGAATTCGTCACCCAGAGGAGCGCGTCGCCGTAGCCTTTGACTTCCCAAGTCCACAGCGACATCGTCCTGACTCCCTCCTTGCGTCCCTTAGCTGTCTGCTCCACTGGGTACACGTTACAGCAAGGACATACTTGTTCTTGAAGCGCCCAGGTGATAAACATGAAGTTACATGCTGCAGCTGGGCAAATCTAACAGGTCACTGCTCCCAAAGGCTAAACCTGCCTCCTTTCTTTGCCTCTGCTCTGCTCCTGGCTCCTTGCTGGTGCTTTGCTGAGCCTGCTCAGCTCGCAAACCCAGCGGACAACTGCTGACTTCTGGCTGGGTTTGCAGGTCACGTTGCCGCCAGTGAACGCGAGAGCTGGCAGAAAGAGACACGACCATGTTGTCTGCACTAGGAGGACTGTCTGATAGACCAGTTTAGCTGGATCACGTGAAGTCACCTTCAAACTTGTTCTCAGCAAGACCAGTAGGAAAAGCTCATAACATTCAGTTACACAACATTTCAAATAGGAAACAGCATTATCTCCATGACTATAATAATATTTAACAGACGTTAAATCATTCAAGCACTGTACAGTGCAATTTACTCACAGCACAAAGAAAACATCCTCCTGATATGCATTTCACTGTCAAAGCTCATTCATCTTTGTTAGCAGGCTGAGAACCGCGAGATTCTGTAGCAGAAGGAAGGGGGGGCGTACGCCGAGCGTTCAGAGCCTTTGCGCTTCTTCCCTCCCTCGTTTCTACTGTAAGGTAGCAAACAAGCAGCCCCAGCTAGCTAGCTAGATTATGAGAAATAGAAACGGTTTGCTTAAAGTAGCTCAGACAATCATGGGAATCCAAGTCACGAACAGAGTCAAAAGCGACCCAACCCCTTAGGTCGTGAGTAGTCTCTAACCTTCCATAGGCAGCCAGCAAAAGAGGCCTGAACGAAGCCGCCAGTAGAGCAAACTAACGTGGTCACAGAATAGGTAAGCTTGCTAGTGATCAACAGAACTACTAGTATGATGAGAAAGAAACTTTGAAACGGTTATGCGATTCCCAAATCCAAAAAACGTCATTTCTCCCACATGAGGGTAGCTGCACCACGTTTTGTCGACCCCGGCATCCGTCTGCCATGAGCAGTAGCAGCAGCTGAGCGCCGAGCCGTTACGAGGCGAGGGGACGCTGCCGCAGGATCCCGCCCAGCATCCAGCAAAGCAGCACCCGGAGGTTAAGGCTTTGTGCACGGCTCTGTACAGCCGTAGGTTATTTTTTGTGGTCCTTTACTTCCTTCTAATGCAGAAATGACAAACGCAGCAGCGTGGCACCCTTCGGCTCCCTAGCTTTGCAACTAAGAATGTTTTCATCTACAGCCGTAACTGTAGAGAGACTCCACAGAGTTCTCCACACGCCACCCCTCTAACTCACGATGTTTAACTGGGATCCCATGAGCCCCCGTTTCATTTTAAGGTCCTCCAAACCCATGGAATAGCCTGCCTGATCTTGAATTCTCACAGCCACCAGCGACAAACTGAGAAAGCAAGGAGCCAGAAACAAAGTCATCGCTAGACAACACTTCTGCACCCGTGAGAAATCTTCACAAGGAAAAGAGGTCCCTCGGAAAAGTTCTTTTCCTCTCAGTACGTTCTTCGCACAAATGGGTTGATCGCCGCATCAGCAGAGACTCCAAATGCCAAAAGGTGGTTTGAGTCTGCGTTTCAGTAGCCCGAGTCTAGCATCTGAGCTACAACTTTGTTGAAGCATGCAGAAAAGCTGAGGGAAGATCAAAACGAGAGACTCAAAAATATCTAAATTAAGTACCAGATCAAAAGAATAACCCGTTTATGGGAATAACCCTCTCACCATGGGGGAAAGAAGCCAGGGGAATCCATCAAGGCTTAGGTCTGCGCCACACTGAAGAACACCCGAGAAACCACAACTTGGGTTTCAACAGCTGCATTTACAGCAGTCCCAGCTTGTGCAATCACTCCTGAAACTTGATGGGAAACTACACAGGCAGGAACTTTTCATGATTCTATGAAAAGATCAAGCGTTACGGCATCTAGTCTTAGCAGCTGAAAAAAGCTACTGTGTATCACAGAGGAAAGAGCAGATTACTGCTATGCTTGGACAAGTTATTGTACGTGGCTGACCAAAGCTGCTCTGTCGGACGCAGCTAGCACCTCTCTATGCACCCAGCTAAAACGAGGACGACGAAGCGGGCCTGCGCTGTCCTCCAGCGTCTCACCGAACGAGCAGATCTGGCAGCACGGACGGCCGCATACCACCGTTTCACAAGTCAGTTCTACAGATCAAGATTTGTCGAAAAGAATTTAAAAACAAGACCCAGCACTTTACACCCAAGAACTAAAACCCTTTTTTCTGAGCATGATCCCACATATTTAGATGTTATCTTTCCTTCTCATCACCGATCCATCTTTCCTCACCTTGAGGAAAAACGTCCATGATCGTGTTGACTCTGTCGTCTGGGTTAAGCCCAAAACCCCACTCCCAAGATTAGAGCGGATGGTGCCTGCGTGAGGGGAGGGCGGGCACAGGGAGGGAGATATCAATTCCAATTTCAGCAATAAGCAAACAAACACAATCTTACTACCCATACACTGCCTCCAAAAATTAAGTTATTTTTGCTTAACTGTGATAGTACGCTTCCAGGAAGGTTGCATTAAGAATATCTAAGTTATTATGACAAGCCATTTATTATACTCAATTTTATTTCTAAGCAATTTGACACAAAGTCAGTCATTTTTATAATATAGTTTGTTGTGAAAACTGCTTAGGAAGAGACAAAAGAAGTAATATTACTTGGAAAAATTCAGCAGTTGTCTGCCTTTCAGCACTGGTAGTTTCAACAGAAGGGGTGCCATTATTGTAAAATATTATATTTTTGTAGAGGTGAGGGATGACAGAAGAAACAAAACTCCACAGGAAAAAAGCCTCATGCTGTTCCTTATCAAAACTGCAAACCCAAAGCAAGAGAGGAAAACAATTTCTGCTTTGTTGAAGGTACAATATTGACATTTGAAGCCAAGGAGAGAAAAGTCCAGAATTTCACATAAGACAGTTACCAGGTTAAGTTTTAAAATGAAAAATCAATTTTGTGTTTAGCACTCTTCAGCTATCATATGACAGGAGAGAACACCACATTCTCAGGACTGGAATACGAATTATATTTTTCCTTACTGGTAGTAGTATTACCTAAGTGTACTACGGTGCTTTCCATTTAGTGATTTTCAAGCGTTAGTAAATCCCCATAAAATCTTTTTAGTAGCTTTGTGCTGTAGCTGGGAGCACAAAGGCAGAAAGGTTAGTGGCCTGTAATGGCCTGAATTCTAGACACACGGACAGGCCAGACCGCTGAAATCAGGCTGCAAGGTTTTTGTCCCTGTGCCACAAGGGAGCATGTTTCAGACTCTCAGAGAAGACTCTGAGAAGGCTCCAGCTCTCAGCTCTTAACCAGAGTAAAAGTCTCTTTGCTGTCTACTTTTCTCAGACTGTACTGAAACAACTTTCTTTAGGCAAAAGCGTGACTCAACTCCTACAACTCGCTACCTGCTCCAACCCGTATGCTGGGTCCTTGGGGCAGTGAAAAGACCAGGGAGCTCACAGAGGTTAAAAATCACCAAGCAGAAGAACCAACCAAACAGCGGGGAGCAAGCTGGTTCAGCTGCAGTACTGCTAGAGCAAAAAGAGAAACAAGCTTCAAACTACAGCCTCAGGCATCGTCCTCCACGTGCCCAGGAGCGCCCTGCCCGACTTCTGGACAGGGCAGTCGGCGTCTTCCACGCGCCAAGAGCTACTTGAAAGCAGCAACTACTTAAGTTGGTAAATACGCAATTACATAATTAATCAAGAGCCAAAAGCTTTACTTATTAGCTGTACAGTTTATTTAGACAAGACAAAAGTTTGCACGGTTTTGTAAAAGTATACAGAAATTAAAACATCTGAAATATATTATTTTTTTCCAGTATATTTAACTTCATTCTTGGAAAAGTGCCTCTCTCTCACTTCTTTTTTTTTTTTTTTTTTTTTTTTTTTCTTAGGATTCACGTTTCAGTAGTACATATGCTCCCATTACTGCCAGAAGAGCATACTGCAAAAGAAAATAAAAGACTGATTTTACATTCTCCTCATGGAAACTCTGAAATTACAGTTTCAAAATGCGCTCCTCCAACGTTACACCTTCTAGATGAGTACAAAATTATAAAATTACAGGAATATTTTAATGGGATCATATTTATTATAAATAAGAATTACAACCGTATAGTCTTAGCTCATTGTATTTTATAAATAAAATGCTTTCAAATGTTTAAAAAAGTTACAAAGTTCTATGTCTATGGACAAGCTTTTTATTTTGGAAGGCCAAAACCCAGCTAATTTTACATTAGGAAACCAAACTGTGGAAGCAAATTTATTAACACATGTATTCTTATATGCACGACTCTTATTAGCTTTACTTGTCATTTTACAGTTTTACATTTCAGTATTCAAAACGTTTGTATACATACCTTAAATTTTGGATAGTCATTCATTATTATAGTTACCATACCAACATAAGGCAAAAATCTGTAATTGACAAAACAGATCAGCATAAAATTAACCCTCAAAAATTACACAAAGATGCTTCAGTATTACTCAATTTTCATTATTTTAGATAACCGATTTCAGAGAAATAAACTTTCAGAGAGACTGCGAGACCTTTAAAGAGCGCGTGTGCTTGACAATGCAAGCTAGGGAGCAAGATCTCAGATTCCACCCTTCTCCCACCAAATAAACACTTTGCTGCGTATTATTTATAGCATTAGAAATATATAAACACCACAGAAGTGGCAAGTAAATACCACCATAGCGAGGGGTACTGGCAAAAGCCTAACATACTGCAACACCGAGGAGTCCGGGAATCAGCGCTTCAGTGTCTCCTGCTGTTCTGGGGCTATCAAAGTCCTACGATCTAACGTGGCAAGAGTTTCAACCTAGCATGAAACATAACTTAGCGTTTAACCTAGCCTACCACAATTAAAGGTTTGGAGGGGCACTTGCTTTGTTTCTTTTTATTTAACTTGAATGCAGGGACAGAATCTAGAAAGCAAGCAAATCAATATTCTTCAAAAAGAAGTATTTGGCACTTTTATGGAAGTTTACCCTAAATCCGTGATAACTCATGCCACTCTTAAATTAGGCAAGAAAAAATACAAGCAAGTACATCACTTGAAACAAGAAGTCCTACCTTCCACTAGGGTTGGCCAGTGACACTAATCTTAGCCTAAGGGACACAGCAGAATTTGCATCAAGTTTCTGACGGCATCGCTAAGTCTCTCAAAGCCCAAAACACACTTTGCCAAGGGCTCTAAGCCAAAGTGTGCCAAATAAGAACCGTGTAAAGCAATCACATCATTTACACTTGCCACTAATGTATCTTTGAAAGGGGAAATAAAAATTTTAATCTAAGAAAAATACACTAACTGAATTAGTTTGAGAAATCTTTAAGACCGACTTTTCATCCCAACTAGGGATGGGACAAAAAGCTCGAACCTTGTATCTTGTGGGATGTAAATATCACTTCCTAGTAATTTCTGGAACAAGGATGATTTGGTTAAACTCTGTATTTATTGGTTAACTATTTATGTTGAAATTTACCATGTTGCAAAAAATTAAGCCCCACTCTCCAAATCAGTGAGAGGACTACAGAAAGCAAAATTTCCAAGTAAATTATTTTCGAATTTCTTAAAGAAAATGGTAATTGAATGATTATCAAACGAGATCTAGTTTGTACCAACACTGGAATTGATTTAAGTTTGAAATTTTCTTTCTATTTTCTTAGAAAGAACATAGATACGTTGCACTACTTACCCTCTTGCTCTTCCAACAACATCTTTCTTCTCTAGCCAGTTCTGACCCTCTTTGTACAAGCCTCTATCATCAACTTCATTATTATCACCTTTAGTCAGAAATTTGATGTTCCCATTTTCTCTAGAAGGCAACGAGGTGATAAACTAACTACCACTTAATTTAAAAACCTCAATTAACATCTACAAAGCACAATGAGGATGAAAAGTACTACAAGATTAGATAACAATGTTTACTTCCAGTCCTGCTTGTCCTGCTTATTTAGCAAACACCATTAAAGCATTAACATTGCAGACTTTACTGACAGAGTCAACAGATTTTAACAAGAGGTGTTTTTTTAAAAACACTCCCAGATTGTCATTTGATGTAAGCAATTATACTCTGAACACCAGAGGAATATTTTCCATCCAGAGCAGGGATGAAACTCCATCAACAAAGCAATATGTGTGGATGAGGAGGAAAAAAAACCCATATCAACCCTGTATTTTCAACAGAACAGAAATGAAATACTGAATAATATTGAGAGAAACAAACAAACAAAAAATTGGATTTACCAAACCTCCAAATGAGTGAGAAAAGTTTTGGGGTTTGGATTTTTTTTTTTTTTATACAAATTGTTGAATAAGATCCAGTGATGTCATCACACATTAGAGAATGAATTTAGCTGAATTTCAGCAACAAATTTCAGCAAATACAAGGCATATTCTAAATCTTTCTTTAGGACTGGAATTGGTATAACAATATAACGTGTTAAGTAATTTTCTTCTAAGTTTTATGTACTTGTTTAACTCATAATAATTTTTGTTGTTGTTGCCAAAATAAAGCATGATAGGAGTCCTCCTTTTGATGCAGAGAAATCCTGAAGGCCTCTTCAGTGAGCTGCAAAATCTGCATCAAATTCAGTATTTTGACAGGAAGTCTGTACTACAATTTTAGGTTGTTTATTGTTTATCTGTTAAGCAATATAGTGAGTTCCCGGCAAAAGCTCAGTTATAGTTGATATCTATTCATGTGGTAAATAAAAAAAAAAACATAATTGGTCTTTAAATAACATCATGTGGACAAAACACTTTTGTAGGTTTTTCTACTGGATTGTATGGAAAAACCTAAGCGATGCAAATAGTTCAGTAGGTGGCACTCTTCCTCCCACATGAGTAAGTGCTTGTGGCACTCAGGAGAACCAGGCTGCTCCCTCAGAGACACAAAACCGAAGGCCTGGCCTCTCCCAGCCATTAAAAAGGCTCAAAAATCTTTTTGTAGGAATAGAGGTTTTAAACCCTGAACTTAACCAAATCATCACTTTTCCCTACTGTTTCAAACGGAAAAAATATTTTACATTTCATTCTGGACTTCATGTAATTTAAGCACTGCTGTTAGAAGACCTGCCATGTTTCAGCCTCTTTCAAGCACTAGGCATATGGGCAGTTGATGCACATATGACTTTGGTTTGACACTACTATTCAAATAGTTACTAAGTTTACAGTCTTCAAAATGATTTTGCTCCATAAGCTGCTAATTGCAATTAAGGGTATCAGTAAGGAGTTTTTCTGAAAATTGGTTAGGTACTTAAATGAAAAAAACAAGAGGCAGTACTTGGGCATACACATTTGTTTTGAAAAAGTGTTGAAGGACAGACTCCACGTGAAAGATAAACACCTTCAGCTCATTGCTAGGACTTCCCAAGGCACAAATATATCAGTGCTCGCCACATCCAAGTTAAATTGTCACTACGCAGGAGTGGAAAAAAAATTGCCTCTCTTTTGTTTGGGAAGGAAATGTTTATCGTTACAGGTACATGCAATAAAAGTGAAAACAAGTAAACTGCCTGTTGCTTTTGAGTATGAATTATTGTTGGTATTGTCACTAATACACACACAAAAAAATAAGACTCTGAGTCAAACCTCTGTTTTATGGAAAACTGCCATTAGCAAAGGTCACATACTTGTCGGGTTTCATCTACAGTTCTAATTCTGAATCTTCATGTCCTTCTAGAGATTTGTTTCTAGATGTAGCTATTTCTCATAGCCAAACTCCCAGTTCTACAACAGTCACTATGGAAAAGGACTCTGCTCCCATACACATTCCCACTGACTGCAAAAATGGTGCGCACAGCTTGTGTTACTAGGCTCCTCTTTGGTGTAGGTTCACCTACTCTGAACCTGAGCAACTCTGCCGAGAGACGGGAGTCAAGGTCTCAAGAAGCACGGCACGGGACTGCGACCAGTTATGGACTAAGCCTACAGACACGTTTTATCTTACCGCATATCCTCACTTGCCTTTTTCGTAAGATACTACCAAATTAAAATGTAAGTGAAAGTCACAGTGAAGGAAACTATATTTAGAAGCAATGAAAATGCCAAGTTGCATTACTTTTCATGAATTTTGATTACTCTGTGAACTATTGGAATGTCTCTGCCTTCAACTTTAAAAACAACTATTTCACCAGCTCTGATAGGGTCATCATGGAAATTTGTTAAGAACAACAGGTCTCCCCTGTGAAAAGCTGGTTCCATGCTGCCACTGCAAACAAACAGAAAGGGAAAGATTATTGGCATTATGGTAAATGAAAGAAGAACCACAAAAGCAATAAGCATTTAATCCTTACAGATACACTCAAGATTTTAATTGAAATCTGTAGCTTTACCCATTCAATAGCAGTATACAGACATTTGATATGCAGTCCAAACCTCAGTAAGCCCCAGGCTGAGATAGCCTGTGGAACGCTTACCCTACTGCCTCAGCAAAATAAAAAAAATAAATGAGCTGTATAGAAAGGTATCAGTATTGTTGCTATGACGGAAGGAACAAAATGAGCCATTCTGGTTAAGATAACCAATCCATTAATGAAAAGCCAAAAGGCATTTCACAAAACAGGAAGTACTGCTCTAAAGAGAAAGGGTTTGACTTACACAAACAAGACTGACGCTTATACCAGTGATTACAGCTCATGATCTGAGAATTCATGCCTTTTTCCAAAGCTAGCCATAATATCTTTTGGTAGCCACCTTTAAGATAGGACTAAAGATCCCATTACTAACTATGTGAACAAACAATTCCCATTAAAATATTATTATTCCTACATTTCCCATATATTCCCTATTGATACACACTGAATCTCAGCATGGCTGAATCTTCCACATATGTTTGTGCTTAACTTTGTGTATATGACTAGCACTCTGGGGCCTGCAGGACTGGACCTTTATATATCAGAAGTAAGATATCATTGAGAAAGAAGCAACGAGTATGTATAATTAACTCATAAAGCAAGTTCTACCATAATACAATCCTAAAATAAATATATACAGGTAAACAAAAAATTAACAGACAGACCTGAAAGTGTTCAGTGCCTTCAGTAAGTGCACTATGTTTCTTTAAAGCTTTTTTTCCAGAGACAACAGAAGTTTCACAGGAATACATATATTTCTATTAAAGCAGAACTGATTTTTTGGAATCTCAATCCCCAAGCAGATAGCAATCTTGGGTAGGCAATATCTATACAACAAGGGAACAGACCTAGACTTTGAAAGGTTTCACATACCCACCGCTTCTATTAACTTCAATGAAAACTAGATTGCGGCTATGAAAGTGGCCTTTGCTAGATGCCCAAAAACAGAGCTAAAAGAAAATAAGTGTTTGAGTACTACTTCAGGTAGGTGACACTCCAAACTCCCAGTCTATTCAAGGGGGAAGGGGAGGAGACAAAAGACAAACTTGGAATATAACCAAAAAAAAGTCTTTACTTTGACTTACCTGAGCACCACAACAATAGGGCTTTCACTTCCAGTAATGACAATCAGCCCTTTCCATATCATAAGGGCAGAAGACACTATCATAGCAAAATTTAAGACTTGGTAATACAGCTGTAAGACATAAACAAGAACAGTGTTTTTAGAAGTTACTGTGCTGTATGCACAACACAGAATTTGGGCACTGTGCATCCCTGAATCACAATCCAGGCTTTTTTACTTATATCATATTCCAGCAGAAGCATCACAGATACAGCAGTACAACTCTGAACACCGTGCTGCAGGATGAAGTTTGAATCCTTAAGTGTACCTCAACCTTGGCTTATGACACCTACGGAATATTATGTTTGCTAGTGCTAGAAGCTAGTGAAGCTAGAAGCTTCACTAGCAAAGACTTTAAAATATGTGAAGCTTTACAGCAAATGGTTAAATCTATCTTTGATTACACATCCCTGAGTCCTACTTGAGATGATAAGCATTTAAAACACACGTGAAGAATAATGTAGACTACTACTATAAAGCCAGGATCAGCAAGAGCCTTTGAAGTTTTAATAGTTTTCTTTGTTTAGAGAGAAGAGTTGGGGGGGCAAGAAGAGGGAGGACAGAATGTCATTTTTCTCTTACTACCAGACAGGAACTTCTTATGTGCAAAATCTTGTATCAATGTTTTCAACTCACTTCTGCACCAAAATTCAACTGCTTTACCAACCCTTGCAATAGCGGATATATTTTCTTCCCATCACCTCCTTTTTTTTTTTTTTCTTAGCAATATAAAGAGATACTCTGGCACAAAAAGGCCCTGTCCACCTCTGTTTATAATGCGACTCATCTACCTAAAACACAGAACTGTAAATTGTGATACCATCATCCTAGTTTAAGGATCTATTTGCTGGTGTTTTCAGGGATATGATTCATGTAACTTATCAGTGGACAAGCTTTTAAGCTTGCCCTCCACTTCTCCCCTTTTTTTTTTTTTTTTTTGGAAAATGGTTATGATTGCAACTAAGGAATAAGAAACTTTCAAAGTTTGGAAATCAGGGAGTTTGTCACTAGTCTCGTATTCTTCCTTCCTAATGCTCATCTGTATAACCACCTAGCAAAGGTAAAGTCAGGATACCTATTTCGAGCTATGGGTGTTCAGAAACACCTGCTTGCTCCCACGCGGTATACCTCTGCAATACAACTGATTACTGACAAGCCCGTAAACAACAAGCGGTTTCTCAGACTGAGGCGGGGATCAGGAGCAGCCTGTGCGGTAGGCGCCGTGTCAGCAGCTCCGCAGGGGCGCCGCGGCCGCGCTGGGGCACG